TCCGTTGTTGTAAATGAGGGCGAACGTGGGTTGAGGATTTTTTTTAGAATAAAGCTGAGGAGATTGTGTTGATCTCAGACAGAAAAAGTAACAGGATAATTGAGAATATTACATTATAAGAGGCTTCATAATATATACTGTACACCTAAAATTGTTAAGTTGATGAAGGTTAGATGGACATGACATCGAAACATGTAGCACACACCAAAGTGCATAGACGTGTTCCAGACAACTCGCTACATGATACCAAGCACTCTTCTTGTCAAGCACCGATCTCGATACTTATAAATGAAATGAACAGAGCAAATTATCCATCGGATTACAGAGTTAAATGTTCCGTTGTTGTAAATGAGGGCGAACGTGGGTTGAGGATTTTTTTTAGAATAAAGCTGAGGAGATTGTGTTGATCTCAGACAGAAAAAGTAACAGGATAATTGAGAATATTACATTATAAGAGGCTTCATAATATATACTGTACACCTAAAATTGTTAAGTTGATGAAGGTTAGATGGACATGACATCGAAACATGTAGCACACACGAGGAAGTACGTAATTTGTACGAATTCTAGATTATAAATTCTTGGGAAAGGACAGCCTGAGAGTCCTAGATTCATACTGACAAGTACTACATGTAGAAAATCAGATTTGTCTAGACTCTTAATTACAGAGTTAAATGTTCCGTTGTTGTAAATGAGGGCGAACATGGGTTGAGGATTTTTTTTATAGAATAAAGCTATGAGGAGATTGTGTTGATCTCAGGACAGAACAGGATAATTGAGAATATTACATTATGAGAGGCTTCATATTATATACTGTACACCTAAAATTGTTAAGTTGATGAAGGTTAGATGGACATGACATCGAAACATGTAGCACACACGAGGAAGTACGTAATTTGTACGAATTCTAGATTATAAATTCTTGGGAAAGGACAGCCTGAGAGTCCTAGATTCATACTGACAAGTACTACATGTAGAAAATCAGATTTGTGATGTAATTTACGTTTATTTGTAAAAATTTGAGGTTCTCGTGGTGGTGAAGATTTCGATGTTGTTCTTCTTAGTTGTAACGCAATACAGACTCGATGCTTTAGTAACAACCTTCGAGTCTGCAAGGCGTCACAACCTAAAATAATATCTTATATTGAATTAACATGTATCGGGAAACAGTGTTTTAGAGCAGATCATTTTGAAATGAAATTTCAGATTCTCCTAAAAAGTTTTTAAGAATAACAAAGAGTTTAAGTAATTTGTACGAATTCTATGTAATAAATTCCTGGGAAAGGGACAACCTGAGAGTCTTAGGTTCATACTGACGAGTACTACATGTAGAAAATCAGATTTGTGATGTAATTTACGTTTATTTGTAAAAATTTGAGGTTCTCGTGGTGGTGAAGATTTCGATGTTGTTCTTCTTAGTTGTAACGCAATACAGACTCGATGCTTTAGTAACAACCTTCGAGTCTGCAAGGCGTCACAACCTAAAATAATATCTTATATTGAATTAACATGTATCGGGAAACAGTGTTTTAGAGCAGATCATTTTGAAATGAAATTTCAGATTCTCCTAAAAAGTTTTTAAGAATAACAAAGAGTTCAGTAATTTCGTTTCACATAACTTATAAATAAATTACTTGTTGACAATAGTTGTTTCTTTCAGAATGTCAGGAGATTTAACATTGAAACACAACGGATCAAACTGAACCAAGCAACAGGCCTTAAGAAGCAGTGGTGTAATTTACGTTTATTTGTAAATATTTGAGGTTCTCGTGGTGGTGAAGATTTCGATGTTGTTCTTCTGAGTTGTAACGCAATACAGACTCGAAGCTTTGATAACAACCTTCGAGTCTGCAAGGCGTCACAACCTAAAATAATATCTTATATTGAATTAACATGTATCGGGAAACAGTGTTTTAGAGCAGATCATTTTGAAATGAAATTTCAGATTCTCCTAAAAAGTTTTTAAGAATAACAAAGAGTTCAGTAATTTCGTTTCACATAACTTATAAATAAATTACTTGTTGACAATAGTTGTTTCTTTCAGAATGTCAGGAGATTTAACATTGAAACACAACGGATCAAACTGAACCAAGCAACAGGCCTTAAGAAGCAGTTAAGTGTTTACTTCTGTAAGAATGTCCTTGAACGTGTTCCTCAACCTTTTCAGATCAATTTGTTACTTTCATCACACTCCAAAATAAATAGCGGTAAGATATATTAGTGAATTATCTTTATTTGTAAAGCAGATATATTTTCCGACAAATGAGTGTTTTTGAGCAGATCGTAATGAAATTTTGGGTTCTCCTAAAAAGTTTTTAAGAATAACAAAGAATTGAGTAAGTCCGTTTCACATAACTTATAAATAAATTACTTGTTGGTAATAGTTGTTTCTTCCAGAATATCAGGAGATTTAACATTGAAACAGAGCGGATCAAACAGAACCAAGCAACAGACCTTAAGAAGCAGTTAAGTGTTTACTTCTGTAAGAATGTCCTTGAACGTCTATAGTTAGTGTTCGTGATTGTAATTCTGCCCTTCAGTTATCGCTGTGTTCATGGCCACAGTTTTATTGCAACAAGTATCAACCTGTTCAGACAAATTTGTTAGTTTCATTACACTCCAAAATAAACAGCGGTAAGATATATTCGTGAGTTATCTGTATTTGTAAAGCAGATAAAATATATTTTCTAGAAGCACCAACCGAATTTCAAGTTTAATTTCAATAATAAGATAAATAGGTTAAGATGTAGAACTAGTCAATCGTCGAAATATAATTTAATGTTAAAATAAAAGGACACCAGAGGTCGATTTTGCTAGAGTTAAAGTGAATATGGAAATCCTCTGCAAACGACAATAAAACCGATGAAGATGAAAACTTCAAATCCTACACGAGATTAAAAACACAGCTCATATCGTCTGTCGATGCCTCCGCCCACCCAAAAAGTAGAAGAATGAGAAAGGTGGAGTTCGTGTTCGTGACTGTAATTACGCCCTTCAGTTATCGCTGTGTTCATGGTCACATTTGTATTGCCCCTACATGACAAAATTATGCAAACTGCTTTAGCCTCCGTCTTGCCTAATCTGTTCTAGCGGTCGAACTTGTGTTTCTTGTCGCCGGTGGTGTCAGCCCTGAATTTCGAAAACTGAGGGACCATCAAGTACGTACTTTGAGCGGCATGCAGCGTTCAATTAAACTGAAAACTACGTCACAACTTCCACTGGTGCGAGCAGACAAGCTAACAGCATCAAAAGTGACTCAAACGTTGCTTCATTTGCGTGTGCAGTCTGTGAATTTGGTAGATTCTCAGGTTACATAGATCACACAACAAAAAGTATATTTTGGTTAGGTAAGGGTTTGGAGAAAACATCATAGTGCTTATTAGGGCGGTATCGCACTAGGATGCCAACGGGAGGCCATGGCGCAGCTTCCAGAATCTCGGCCAAACTCAATGCATTAATTTAGTAGTCATATATCGCACCTGGCATCCGTCTGGCAGCGTTTCCAACTTGGCATCGCTGCCACCCAAGATGCCAAGTTCAAATGCTACTGGCATCGCTGCCACGGCCAAGGCCAAGTCAACATCACATGACAGTTTGGCCAGTCCATTGACGTCCGTGCGTGAATGTGCTTGTGTGTATTTCTGTTTCTTCAAAACATGGATAATTTCGACACCGAAAGATTGATAATTGAAATTCAGGCCCGACCATCACTATGGGATTCATCTGCTATTGAATACGCAAACCGGGACTTGAAAAAAAGAAACTGGGAAGAAGTTGTGGAAATATTTGGAGGAGATTTATTTACAGTAGAAAAGAAAGAATTAGCTAAGAAGTGTTTCTATGGCTTTATTTGTGGGGCCGCTTTCCAATATGGCAACTTGATTTATAAGTTTTTTTGTTTACCAATCTATATATCACAAATAACTTGAATTAAGAAGAAACCTGCTTTTATAATGTTTTATTAAATAAAGTTTGTTCATGTAATATTACATGTGATTTGCAAGAACTGAAATATTTCAAATTCAATAATGGTATGGACGTGCAAAGTGTGTGTATGGAGAATTTTTCTTACTTATTTCTTTGTTACAGAACTGACAAGATTAAAACAAATACAGAATTGAAATTCACTCCAGGTATGTAGTTTTGATAAAGGTAAATCTCATTTTCTCAAAAGTGATAAAAGTGGACATTTCTCCTTGCTAATAGCCCTTCATTTCGTGAACAAGTTTACAGCGTCAAAAGTGACTCAAACGTTGCTTCATTTGCGTGTGGAGTCTGTGAATTTGGTAGATTCTCAGGTTACATAGATCACACAACAAAAAGTATATTTTGGTTAGGTAAGAGTTTGGAGAAAACATCGTAGTGCTTCGTTCGGGGTTGTCGCATGGCCTTATGATGCTCTATCAGATTCTTTACACAGATTGTCACGAACCAATCAAAAGTTAACTGGAGGCGAAGCCTTGTGCAGGCGCAAGATATCATCCCTTGCTAGGTTAAATAATTCCTGCGACAATTAGATATACAGAAATAAAATAATTGAATATTTTCAAGTAAAGATAAAAGAACCAATCAACTTCTTTTTCTGTCACATTTCCGCTTGCTGTTATCACCCTGAGGATGGTGGCATTAAATTCATTTGAAACGTCGGTCAATATAAAGTGTATTACATTATTCAACTCGCGCAACCTTGACATATGTGATTGATTGTAATATTGGCATATCGCTAAGCCACTGATTGAAAATCAAGGTACGTTGTAACGTATAAAGAGGAGATAATGTTCGTTATAAGGAAGTTTATTCAAACGCTGTAACGGGTTTCCGCTATACGACTATAATAGACTACGTTCCTTTCGATAAAGAGGTCGCCGAAGGAAGTGATCTGGAAGCCGATTCGCTTTAACGAGAACATTCTGGCAGCCAAGCAGGTGGCATCACAATCAGCGTTCCTCGAGTCTCATCGCGGACCTCTGAGAACACTTGCTTTAGGACAGCCTCGGCCGAAGTGCGAATCCCTGACAACTGGCCTCCATCCCCGTGATTTTTTTTTTTAGATTTAATAGCGTGAGTCAGTGCGTCCGTTGGCAACCCTTCAGCAACGGTCACTCACGAGCCCGTATCAATACCAATATTTAGGAGTAACACAGTGTCTCCATATTCAAGGCTGAACAATAATTTGTATTCACGACTTAATCAGTACGACTCTTGGTAAAACAACAACTTTCGTGACCGGAAAATTTCACGTGTGTAATTTACTAATTAGAACTACAGTAATAAAACATGGCAGAAATACTTTGCTTTGAGAGGAAAATATCTTCCAAACAAACCATTAAGACCGAAACGGATATATAAAATATTGATACACAACATCTTTTAGAAATGCTGAATGGGTTGAACTGGTTGAGGTTCGTATCACACGCAAATTAGCAGCTAAGCTTTTTCGAGACACACTATAAAACAAACGACAATCGTTAAAGTATAGATGAGTCACACTGACCTTTCGACGAGCGGTCAAATAGGAAATGAAAAATCTAATGAAACATCAAACAGAACGCTTCATATTACGTTCCTTTATCTGTCAACAGAGAGTGCTCGAATCGCAGTGTAAGTGGACAGGGGTACAAAGCCTGAAGGGGAACAGCTGTAGTGGATCGGTACTTCAGCATACTGCCATCCTGCAAGTGTTGCGACTTCATTACAATACTAGTAATGGTAAAGGCGAAAGGTAACGTTATACCAAGTGTTTAACAAAGAACCTCGCCATTTAAACGAATAGTAACTTGCGAGCTCTTGGCGCGGGGGTGAAGAACAAGGTGATAAGCCTGTAGCGCGCACCTCCACCCGTTCTACCTGGCCGTTCCGTGCACCGACCAGGCCGTGCCGAGCGCAACTATCCTCAGCACTAGTGAGCTCAGTAAGTAATCTGGTCCCTACCTTGCATATAATGGAGGTATATGTGGACGCATTCTTAGCTCAGACACTAGATCGAGGCCGAGCGATTAGCAGCACACTCCGGCCGCTTTAGTTCCGAGGAAATAACACCAGTAGCGACACTGGTAACAAAAAAAAACATTGATATGCAGTGTCGGACACTGCCGCAGTTATTTTCGTGAAAACGTCAATCGTGTATAGTATATTGAAATTAAACAAAATTTTTGTCTTCAAATTCACAGCCTCGTATCTTTTTGAGTTTTTGAGATACACACTGGGAGCCCAGGTTGAGTTGTAACATATACACTCCTCTTCAAAACAACACTTTCATCTAATAAACAAAACAAAAGAAAAATTCAAAATTTCATCTATCGAACTATACCTTTCTATTACATATGAAGAACAAATTCATAAATGTTCTTTATATTCTTTTTTCTTAACGAAAATATTAGTTAATATCAACGTTCCTCGAGTCTCATCGCGGACCTCTGAGAACACTTGCTTTACGACAGCCTCGGCCGATGTGCGAATCCCTGACAACTGGCCTCCATCCCCCGTGATTTTTCTTTAGATTTAATAGCGTGAGTCAGTTTGTCCGTTGGCAACCCTTCAGCAACGGTCACTCACGAGCCCGTGTCAATACCAATATTTAGGAGGAACACAGTGTCTCCATATTCAAGGCTGAACAATAATTTGTATTCACGACTAAATCAGCACGACTCTTGGTAAAACAGCAACTTTCGTAACCGGAATTTTCCGGTCACGAAAGTTGTGTAATAAAACATGGCAGAAATACTTTGCTATGAGAGGAAAATATCTTCCAAACAAATCATTTGTACGACCGAGACGGATATATAAAATATTGATACACAACATCTTTTAGAAATGTTGAATGGGTTGAACTGGTTGAGGTTCTTATCACACGCAAATTAGCAGCAGCTAAGCGCTTTCGAGACACACTATAAAACAAACGACAGTCGTTAAAGTATCGATGAGTCACACTGACCTTTCGACGAGCTGTCAAATAGGAGCGGTCAAATAGGAAATGAAAAATCTAATGAAACATCAAACAGAACGCTTCATATTACGTTCCTTTATCTGTCAACAGAGAGTGCTCGAATCGCAGTGTAAGTGGACAGGGGTACAAAGCCTGAAGGGGAACAGCTGTAGTGGATCGGTACTTCAGCATACTGCCATCATGAAAGTATTACAATACTAGTAATGGTAAAGGCGAAAGGTAACGTTATACCAAGTGTTTAATAAAGAACCTCGTCATTTAAACGAATAGTAAGACCAGATTACTTGCGAGTTCTTGGTGCGGGGTGATAAGCACTGCGCGCGCATCTCCACGCTTTTTCTATCAGTTCCACCCGGCCGTTCCGTGCACCGACCAGGCCGTGCCGAGCGCAACTATCCTCATCACTAGTGAGCTCAGCTATCAAGTAATCTGGTCCCTACCTCGCATATAATGTAGGTATAGGTAGACGCATTCTTAGCTCAGACACTAGATCGAGGCCGAGCGATTAGCAGCACACTCCGGCCGATTTAGTTCCGAGGAAATAACACCGGTAGCGACTCTGGTAACAAAAAAACGTAAGAGAGTCTATAGTGGCGCCTGTGGTGGGAATTGGTGGCTTCTGATTTCTGCTGAAGTCATGATTCTCGTCGTCCGTTTTGTTTTGGTGGCCTCAGACGCCGTCATCATCTGTCCATCCGACTGTAAAATAAAATTTTGTGACGTGATTCAAGAGTTTTGATTAAAACCTGCCGATTTACTGGCCTTTAACAATAGTTATTCAAAAGTTTCACCTACAGACAAAATTTAATCTGCCTCCTTATATGATTTCTGTAAAATTCAGAAGGCCTACAATCAGGTTATAAAATTGTGAAACAAATCTTTGTTTCCAACACAAAGACCACTGCATCGTTATCAAAATGCTTAACACACAATTTTCTTTACGTAACTGTTTTATCTAATCAAGACTATTTCGCAGGTATTTCAAAAGGGTTAACAGCATCTTTGTCACCCCTGACATCTCAAGATGAACATTACGTCTGTTGTCTTGTCCTTACATGAAATTTCTGTCATAAAAAGAAAGAAAATAGAATAAGGAGCAAAGGTTAGTTCTTTGAGAAGCGACTACTGACATTTTTGTGACGGCAGACAGAGCGGGCCCTAGGGACTTCGGCCGATGATCTGATTTCGCGGGCGACGGTCGGTCTGTTGGCCGGATTCAATTCCCCCACATCCGACCGCGTGAGCTACCTCAGCGGTGAAGCAACACAATTCGACAGATTCTCTACAGAAGCAGAGACCGGCTGCCTTACCCCTTCTTCGTCAGTGACTCCAACCAAA